CAAAGCTCTTTTGGCTGTACTTCTCCTGTAGATCGCAGGAGTGCAGTTCCTTCTGCACTCCTGTGACCCATTTTCAGCTGACAGCTGGCTGATGTCACTCATCCAGTCCAGGCTGAGGAAAGATCCCGACTTTAAAGTCAGGATCCACCCCAGAGTCTGGAGCGGTACTTGGTTCAGCTTCTCAGCGATCTCTTGAGAGCCTGAGCCAGCCTCTTCCTCCCCCTCCAAATCCCAGTGCTCTCTGCTCACAGTGGCGGTGAGAACTCTGTGGTCATGTGGTCACTGAGTTCTCGCGCTTAGAGCTGGTGGGGGTCAGACAAATGCAGCATCGCATCCAATGCTGCATCCACCTAGGTAACTATGATTTGGCAATAAAAAAAAACATCCCATACTTCTCATTTAAAGCTGAATTCTAGGTGTGCTTTTATTGCATAGGTACACTTGGACCAATGTATGCATGTGTAGTCTATACCTAGCCAGTCTCTGTGGAATGGAAAGTTACTTTAGTAGCTGTTGCTACTGCAGTGATCCTTGCTGACTTCTCGAGTACCACGCCAAGCAGCTGCCCTGATGCATAATAACCACAGGGGGTTGCTCACTCTGCATGGACGCCATTCAGAAAGCATTTTCCGTTTTTCTCAATGAATGCAAAGTGTTCTCTGATTGGGCAGTGATGTCACGCTCTCCATCTTGTCCATTCAGAGAGTGATTTGCGTTATATGAGAAAAATGCAAGGCACTCTCTGATTGTCACCCATTCCAAGCGGGCAACCCTGTACATCAGGGTTTCTTTACCAAAGTTCCTCCTGAGGTTGCTGGGATTTCTTGAGCAATTTCTGCCTCTCAGATAAGTTCCCAATGACACCATTTGATCATCTTTGCTATCTGTAAGGGGGTAATTCTTCTCAATGACCACAAATGTAAGGAGCACTCTTCCTATTGACCATCACACTAATTTATTAGTAGTTGTAGAAATAGTCATTTTTAGTAAGGATTCCCAGAAATTTATTTTAAGGGTTCCTCTGTGTTGAAAGGTTGAGGCTGCTCTACAGTTACTATGCAGCAGGGCAGCCACCTAACACTGGACCCAGAAGAGAGGATCCCTGTAGTAGTGGTGGCTGCTAGAGTCATTCTCAGCTTCCACATGGATCATCCAGGTATAGAATATCCATTCTCACATTGGTCCAAGTAGTTGCAATGTAACTATGCAAAAAAATTCAGGTTTAATGTTTATGTCAACCCTAACACTATACTTACTTTCTCTTAGTCCAATATTGTTCCAGTTCCCACTGTGAACTATAGTTCATGTCCCCCTTTTGTTATGAAAAGGAGGTGATATTTTGTAGTCCTAACCCACTACCTGTCCTAGAGAGACAATGCTGTTACTCCACAGATACATTACAGTGAGTGAGCGTTGCAACCCTAGGCCAGCAAGTGTGATACTGGCAGGACATCTAAGGTCTGGTAAACTGAAATATATTCCATTTTTTGTCTTGGGTTCAGACTGTTCCCCATTATTGGCAGAGGGCTGAAAATGTATGCACAATACACGATACTTTGTGGCCAACTTTATCTGTGGCAACCAATCACATTTGCTTTACTTTTCTAACCTATTGTAAGCTCCAAGGATCAGGCCCTCCTAACCTTTTTGTATGGAACTGTATTGTCTCCCTTTATATTGTAAAGCGCTGAGCAAACTGCTGGCGCTATATAAATCCTGTATAATAATAATATATAAATCCTGTATAATGATGATAATTCTAATAACGTGCATTAAGAAGAATTGGAATCCGGTTATTTACATACAGCAGCACATTTTCAGTGTTCTCTTTTTTTTTTGTTAAACTATTGGTAACATAAAAACTGCTTAAGAATATATTGGCAATTATTATTACCAGTTAATATATTTAGCAATATTCAGTTTACCTGCTGAAATCTCTGCAAGCTTCATTTAAATATTTCCTTCCACATAATAACGCTCCAAATGACTCTCCTCATAAATCAAATTTTCTCAATCTCTTAAAATGTTTTCCAATCTTCTCTCTTATTAATCACTTCAAGTCTTTTTTCCTTTTCTGTTCTTAAAGCTCAACTTCAGGATAACAGTTAAAGTAAAACTAAACCTACATTTAAAAACAGCTGTGAGCTGGCAGATCTGTATTGTAGAAGACACGCTATGTCTCTTATACAGTAAGATACATTTACCTGGCCATTGAATGTACACTAAGCTGCTCAGACAGAACAAAACCAAAATGGCGCAATGGCCTAGTGCAAAATGTTATTGAGAAATAAACCAATGAGTGTAAAATCAGCACTGTGCATAAACCCAGCAACTGAAGTGGTCTTTGATTGATGTGTTTCGAGGGGCATGCCCCCTTCATCAGAGCAAAACTGGTATATCTTTTGCCCTACCCATATAGGAGAGGGGGAGGGGAGACCAAAGTACACCACCCCAATAGGCCAGACTCCAAAGCTCTCATGCAAATAAAAATGACATTTTAATCTCATATGCACCCTTCTCATGTAAGGTGCTCTCATAATACAGAAATCTGAGCCTTGATGCAGGTCTACTTATTACATTATGTGAAGTGAATGCAGCTTCCTGATTTACTAACAGTAATGGTATTGGTAACATCTCCACAATCATGAGCTTTGGCATCTTAAAGGTTCTTAAAACATAAGGCAATGAGTAAAACATAGACTTACAGGCTTGCATTTTGTGCCATTATATACGCCGATAGTGGCCATCCACTGTGCTCTTGGATGTATTGGAGCCAGTGGTGTATTTAGGTTTTGTGCTGCCCTAGGCAGCACAAAAATGGTCTGCCCCCACGGACACCGACCAACACAACCTCCCCTTCCCTTTTCTGCGGATAGAGCCTGACATTAACCAAAAATATCCCTGACCCCCACCTAGGAGAGCCTTCCATTCCTGACCCCCTCCCTCCTCCCAGGTGATAGAGAGACACTCATCTTCACAGCTCCAGACATCCCCAGGAATGAGAACCAGGCTCTACATACACCATCAAGCAGTCCGCACCCTCTCTCAGATCCCACCTAGTTCCCGTGGTGTACATGTCCCTTATTTCATCCCTTCTTCTAGGGGGAAGTTCTGCCCCCCTGAAAAATGCTGCCCTAGGCAAGTGCTTTGTTTGCCATGTGGTAAATACGCCCCTGAGCACATAATGTCGGGCCCTGGAAAGCAAACCGGCCTAATACCTGGAAACTGGAAGTTGAGGACTGGAAATGCTTCAATGCCATTTTTCCCTCGAACTGTCTACACCTCAGATGCTGTTGCTGAACTTCCAAACAGTAGAGCCTCTATTGAGAGACCATATTTGGGAAGCCAACACTCCGGGATACCTACACATAGTTTCAAAGCACTAGCCACCCAGTGTGTATTTATATGTACAAGACTCAATGTGGGAGGGGCAAAAGACAGGTCATATATTTAAGTAGAGATGGATGTCTCAAACTAGTGTTGGGGGCCTGTCCCATGAAGCACGTCAGCTGAAAGACCTATCCAGTTCCTGGGTTTATGTATAATGCTGATTTACTCTTGTGAGTCAACTTTCATCAGCTAACCTCTCAATAAAGTTATGACTGTAATGCCCTAGGCCATTGGCCCCTTTTGGTTTGGTTTTGTCTGTGTAGATTCAATATTCCCTGATCTTAAAAGCGATGCATTGGTGCAACAAACCGGTGAGAGAGCTGATGGTTGCCATCCAATACAGTCCATTTTGGTTTGTCAAGAGTCTCCTAGCACTACGGTGTCAGGGGGCTGCCTCTTGTGTGTACACTGAATTGATCACTCACAGGTCCATCATGTTTTTTATCAGCATATTTGCATGCAGTTCTCCTGATTGGCTGCCTGTACTTCCCCTCCCAGTCCCCCTGTACTGAGGATTTCAAGAGGCCAGATAACAGCTCCTACTCCACCTACCTACACTGGCTGCTTTTAAAAATACTTTTAAAGTGGTTGTAAACTTCATGAAATATGAACAACGCATATCCTTCTATGGTGTGTACTTGTCTCAAGAAGCATCATTTCTGTCTACTGCTTCTTTTCCTCTGCTATTAGCATGAGTCACTTCTGACAAGTTTTACTGACACCAAGAGAAAAAAGGTGACAGGGGAGGGAGCTTCAGCTGATTGACAGACTCAGATCTGTTCCTTTTGAGCTGCGTGCAGGGGAGTGTGTCTCTTCCCTCCAATCAGATCTCAGAGCTCTCCTCACTGAGCTCTGCAGAGTGTAACTTCAGCTCTACACTCCCTTTTTGATGACAGTGCAGACAAACTTTATAACTTCTGGACATTGAAGGGTTGTAGAGAAGAGAAAACTGCACGTAAACAGGTACAACCTAAGTAGAAGGATTTGTTTCATATTTGTGTATCACTTGAGGGCAGTCATGTCACTGCGCGTATATGGAAGGGTTTACAACCCCTTGGTTGGCTTATTAATAAATGAGGCGTTGCATACATTTGAGTCTTTTATATTTGCTTGGAGTTCGGCTTGCTTCTTATTCTCACATTAGTTGTGGTCATGTTCACTGATCTATGCGTACTACAAATCCCATAGTCCATCTCAGCAGCGAGAGGGTGGCTACATTTCGTGGGACCACTAAGAATGAATGTAGGTACCCTTCAATGAAAGTTGGAGTGCAGCAGCAAAAAAAAATAATTTGGAGGAAGCTGAGAGCAATAGAAGGTACTTTTTGAGTTAAAAATGCTTACTTGAATATATATATATTTTTTTTAAAACAGAGTTTAGTGTCACTTTAAAGCAGGACCTAACATGCCAAAAAATTACATGATTATTAGTCCTAGAAAACAGTAATAAATTGTTGGGATATTTTGAGTAATTTTTCTGTTGAAGGTTAAGAACATAGAGTATATGATTGTATATATTCCTAACTATTTTTCATGATTCAGCACTTTTGATGATTCTGGCAGTAGATCTACTCCTGTTGGCACAGATTAGACTGTGTGTTCTGTGTTCAGAGCAGGTGGCTCTCCACCAGGCACCAGCATAGAACAACTGCACTACGCCAAGAAGCTCTACGACTCCGCCTTCCACCCTGACACCGGAGATAAGATGAACCTGATTGGCAGAATGTCTTTCCAGGTCCCTGGAGGAATGGCAATCACTGGCTGCATGCTACAGTTTTACAGGTAAAGTTTTATTATTTTTTGAATGTGTGATATTTATCTAGAGTTTTCCCAATACTGTCTGCACATGCAGCAACAAGAAAGTAGAAAAGCCATCCATGTACCATCTAATGTGGGCTAGTGGGCATCTTCCAATTTAAACCTGCAATGACTAGCCAAGTTTAAAAAGGGAGCTGTTAGTCTGACCATACACTGTACACTCTGATTGTCTAGATACACTGCCCAGATCTACTATCAACTATGTAGTATAGGAGCCAGATTTGATACTACTTTTTTGTCCTCATTACATAGTTTTGGTAAACCTAAAGAAGAATGCTCACAGATTGTACAATCAGGGGGTATAGTGTTCAGTTTTAGGTCTCAGTCCCTCTGGAAGTTGGTTTTAGTGTGGCACACTTGAATCAATAGAGAATATTCAAGGCCCATTCACACCAGCGGGCATGTGTTACATGAAGCCAACAATCACTACAACAGCCTTCATCCAAGGGACTGTTGTAGATCTCCCATGGACGGGGACTGTTGCAGTGATTGTGGGCTACAATCAACTGGAACTAGTGTGATGTTTTTGGTGTGCAGAGGGCACTTTCTTTCCTCATCACGCATTAATATTTCATTAAACTCTATGCACCACAGCGTTTTGCAATGCAGTGTTTTTTGTTGCAATATGCTGCATAAAGATGCAACTTATCCTGCTTTTTCTGCAACAATAGGACAAGCGACAAATTGCCTTGCCTATACAGTGGGATTGCATTGGGCAACACAGCCCAATCAGATTGGTGTGAATGAGCACTTAACATTACAAAATCATGTCAATATGCATAAAAACAAGTGCTTTTCTCAAACGTCATCATTTGAACAAGCGGGTGCATGCAGAATCCAGGCTCAGTCAACTATCCTCTTGGCATTTTTTGGGGGAAAAAAAACACACCACACTCCTGCTGCTACATGCAAAGCTTTATTGAGCAAGAAGCAACAGACATTCCACCCATGCCATTGCAGCCCTTATTGGGGCTTATTTGTAGAGTCTGTGGGGGGAATAAGAATGTATATACATATGCAAACAACTCCCACATACTTATTAAAAGGACACCCACCGTACCACCTGCTTATCTTATATAGTTTAAAGGATAAGTACAGCCAAAGCTCTTTTGGCTGTACTTCTGTGGATCACAGCACAGTGGCTAAATGGTTAGCACTTCCACCTGGCAGTACTAGGGTTGTTGGTTCAAATCCCAGCCACGGCACCTCCTGCCTGGAGTTTGCATGTTCTCCCTGTGCCTGCATGGGTTTCCTCCGGGTACTCCGGTTTCTTCCCGCACTCCAAAGACATGCTGGTAGGTTAATTGGATCCTGTCTAAATTGGCCCTAGTATATGTATGTATGAATGTGAGTTAGGGATGCATTACATTACTTAGATTGTACACCCCTTGAGGGTTAGGGACTGATGTGAATGTACAATATATATATGTAAAGCGCTGCGTAAATGGACGGCGCTACATAAGTACCTGAAATAAATAAAATCACAGGAGTGCAGTTCGTTCTCGGCTGAAGCCCACTGTCAGCTGACTTTACTCAGCTGGCCCAGGCTGGGTAAAGATCCCGACTTCAATGTCGGGATCCACCCCAGAGTCTGGAGCAGCACCTGGCTCAGCCTCTCGGGGATTAAACAGATACCACCCCCTGCGTTGCAAGGTTTAAATGCTTACTCTAGTGGGTGAAGGAAGGCTGTATTACTTACCGTACCCCTCGCTCTATCACGCTCTGGTGCGCTCCTTTTCTCTCCACTGCTCCTGGTTGTGGGCAGGCCCTTTGAGTCATCATGTACAATGCAGAGCTATTAGTCCTGCATTGTATATGAGGAGGTAAGCATGGGACCGCAGACCAGAGTGCCTTAGCGAGGAGGCTGCAAAGGACCCGTCACACAGATGGAGGGAGCCTTCCAGAGGTAATTATTACAAATTATTGCTCATCAAGGGTTTTTTTTTTTTTCTTGTACATGGAGTTGGGCTTTAAGACAAGTATTCTAAATGAACCCCCATTCCACCTTTATTGCCCAGTATTAAAATGAATATAAAGTAAATCATTATATGAATCCTAGGACTCTAGATGGTGAAATATCCTTACAAACAGTCTTTGTCGCTGTATATTCAATTGATCTTTGCATGCAGAACAGGAAGCTGTGGGTGTCTCTGCACTTCTGTGACCTAACACATTGACAAAGGATCATATGGTTTCCAGCTACTTGGATACATTGTTGCACTATACATCATTAGAAGGTACAAAATCTTTTGTTTTCAGCCAAGCAGCTCCTGTCTTCTAGGTTTGCAGTGAGATAACCAGATCAGCAAGGTACAACATTTTGAAGAACCACTAAACAGAAATCGGAGGCGGCATATGCTATGGACAAATAAGGCTGTCCTTGTATAACTAAACCCAGGCACAAGATTTTGTAATACTTTTTACATGCATTTACAAGATCATTATGTAAAAAGGTCTCTTTCACATGTATATAGAAAAACATTACAAAAACGCTACTAATGATCTTCCAAACATATCTAAATTCAGTATTTGTCAGTGGCTCTTGATCCCCATTAGCTGACATGAGTGGGAGTAATGGGCCCTGTAAAGCAAGACCTGTCATCTGGGCTTCACTAATGATGCAGGTTATAAATCTACAGATATATAGTATGGGAAGCCTTCATGTATACCCAGCTGCTTGTCAGATATGTCTGCAGAGGTCCAGTCTCAGGGGCCTGCTAATCATTACCTGGGAGAACACTTCCAGGCTTGTTATAACGATGTGAATGAGCCAGATTTAACAGAAGGTAACCGGAATATACCTTTCTACTGGCTCAGCACACTCTGTGGATGGCTACCTTTTAATCTAACAGACAGGATTTTAGATCGAAGCTTTTCAGACTTTTAAACTGTTCATGCCTAAGGAATAGCTGCCACCTCTGTGGCTGAAATAATTAAATTGAACCTGCCAGGGGGCCTGTTAGTCATTATAGCCAAGGCTGCCATTCAGAGTGCAAAACTGCAGTTTGCCAGCTTCTGAAATTGGTGCTAGCATAAATCACAGATATCCCTTATTTAAAGAGACTGGCTCTCTTTTAAACCAAATCTTTCTAACCTCTTTCCTCTTCTTGTCCTTATTTCTGCATCATGTCCCTCTTTTTCTATGTTCTTTTTTCCACATCTCTTGTCCTCTTTCCCCCATCTTGTCTTCCTTCCCCCCTCTCGTTTCCCCTTCCCCCCTCTCGTTTCCCCTCCCCCCCCTCTCGTTTCCCCTTCCCCCCTCTCGTTTCCCCCCCCTTCCCCCCTCTCGTTTCCCCTTCCCCCCTCTCGTTTCCCCTTCCCCCATCTTATCCTCCTTTCCCCCCCTCCCTTCTCTCTTTTCCCCTTCTCCTTTTCTTCCCCCTCTTGTCCCACCCCTTTCATTTTATCGTACCTCTTTCCCCCCCTCTTGTCCCTTCTTTCCACCCCCTCTTGTCCCTTCTTCCCCCCCCTCTTGTCCCTTCTTCTCCCCCCCCCCCCTCTTGTCCCTTCTTTCCCCCCCCTCTTGTCCCTTCTTTCCCCCCCCTCTCTTGTCCCTTCTTTCCCCCCCCTCTTGTCCCTTCTTTCCCCCCCTCTTGTCCCTTCTTTCCCCCCCTCTTGTCCCTTCTTTCCCCCCCCGTCCCTCTTGTCCCTTCTTCCCCCCCTCTTCCCTCTTCTCCCCCCCCTCCCTTCTCCCCTCCTTCTCCCTCATCTCTGTCCTGTCCTGTCCCCCCCCCCCCCCCCCCTTTTTTGTTTTTTTTGTTTCCCCTTTCTCTTGTCATTGCTACTACAGTGTTCTTCACTTCCACAGCTTCCTGGTCCCATGCTGAACGTCTGCCCTGCTGCATTGTGAACACAGGAGGTCACCTGCTAGACACAGTTGCTGTTTAGAGAAAGCTTAGAATTTTCTCAATGAATGCAAAGAGTTCTCTGATTGGATGAAGTAGAAAGCTGAGGTGGTGACATCTCAATCTCCACTTTGTCTAATCAGAGAATTCTTTGCAGTCATTGAGAAAATTCAAAGTGTTCTCTGAATGTTGCCCATGCGGAGTAAGCAACCTCCTGTGTTTTAGTAAGCAGCAAGCCAGCTGCTCAGCACAGGATCCAGAAACTAGTTGAGAACAGTGTAATAGTATTGCTTAGCACAGAGATTCCCAGTTCATGAGGATCAGCCAGGTATGGTGTATATAGTTACAGCGGGATGAACGTTACTACGTAAAAATATGCATACCTGCAATTCTTCTATAAAGTGTGCGTGTGTGTCTGTGTAATGTATGTATGTGTGTGTAATATATATATATATATATATATATATATATATATATATATATACACACACAAAACATTTGTGTTTTGTTTTTTTTTGTTCTGTTTTTGTTTTTTCAAGTTTTGGGTTGAGTGGGAAAGGGTTAAAACCATTGCCAATGTATTTTTTCTGGCTGTGTACCATTGGTGAAATTTCCCTTACTTCCTGTCCCAGAGGCGCCACATGAGGATAGTTACTAGAAAAAAGTGTCCCCATTGGAGGATTTAGTCTCTATTCCTGTTCTGATGGCAACTCAGAATTTGTTTGGTTTCTACCTCCCTTTCAGTCCCAGTGACTGTACTTACCAGAACAAGAGTGTATCTGCCTAACAGGGACATAGACAGCACAAAAACATAACAATGGTTCTAACCACTCCACCCAAAACTAGACCAAACTTTTTAGCATCAGATAACACTGTAAATAAGTCTTCAACTGTTTTCCCACAGTTTTGTTGTGCAGAAACAAATGTTTCCAGTCTCCTGTAATTCTTTTTGTTGAACATTTAAACAGGACCGTTCCCGCTGTGGTGTTTTGGCAATGGGTTAATCAGTCATTTAACGCGCACTTGTAAATTATACCAATCGGAATGCTGCATCTCCCATCACGCTTGGGTAAGTTTTTTTTGTATTTATTGGACCTTTTCTTTCTTTCACTTTTATCTTATGCGCTCAGTGCCTTTAGCGGGGAGAAGTAGCGCATACTGCGAGGACTGCTGTGAATCTACACAAAGTAGTGTAATAAGGCAAGAGACAGCATACCAGCAGTAAAGCTTCTAATTATTGTAGTTCACCTTCTCCCAAGACTGCATGAGCCATCAAGGTTCATTTTGCATTCTCTGAATATAAATATACTTTTTTTAATTAATTATATTAAACAATAATTCTATATCCATTTATTCAATTTTTTTAAATTAAATATAAAACAATATATACACACACAGGAAATGTACCTGTATGTGCACAGCCATGCACGACATCATAGTGCAGACATTACCCATTCACAATAATTAATCTTACAGAAACAGATGAAGTGCAAATCTCAAAAGTACAAATAAATTCTAGCACAGTAGGGAATCCTAGGATCTGTAAAATGTTGATTTGTTAAACAGTATTAAAATCCTAGCTCAAACAAATTAATACACACCCTGCAGAGCTAACAAAAATCAAAACTACTGTATATGAATAACTTTTATGTGCTATATGCTTATAGTGTATAAAGCTAAGAAAAACTGATTAAAAATAAAGTTTTTGGCACTGTGTAGTTGCTGCATCATCCTAGAGTGTATGTCATGGCAAAATAAAAAATATACACAGTAAATTTCTGCAATATATATGCATTTCCCATGTTTTGGACCTTTAACCACCTTCTCTTTTCCCTTTAACTGGATGAAAATGCCAGCAAAAGCAGAAGCAAAAGTGGGCATTCCAATCATGTGAACACTGTGATAGGCTGTCTCAGCAGTCACATGATTGGAAAGTTCACAATCGTAAGTAAGTCAGGAGCTTTCTGTACAATGTAGCTTACTATGCACTCCCAGGATAGTAAATTGTTTACAAGTAGACGCATATATGTGGCCACTGGGCATTAACCCACCTGCCCAATGGCTGCATATTTGCGCTACGTCGGTGGGAAAAGGTTACAGACCCTACAAGTACAGAAAAATACCTGTATCTATGTGCGGCTCTGCACTTTCATATATACATGTTTACGTTGGGATTGTTACCTATACCTTAAGTGCTAGCTGCTGCTATATATTCTTTTTTAGCGCTCGCCTGCATATTCTGATTATATCTATATACAGAACAATACCTGATGAGCTGATGGAAATGCACTCGGCCCTTTAAAGTGAAGCTTCTGATAACAGTTAATAATAATCTTTAACAAAGATTATACATTCCACATAATAATTATGCCTCCAGCATTGGTCCTGTTTCTTCTTGCTGGAAGCCGTCATTTGGTTGAAGCCCAGAGCAGTCACTTCCTTACCGAGATCTCTCCGCCTCTCCTTAGTCTCAAAAACTATATTGAACTTTCTGTAATTAAAAGGTGTGCATTTCCAATTTTGATTGTATGTCTTAGCTCAGCTAGAGGGGAGGCTGACAGAAGCTTTAGGCCTCATGCACACTGCTTCTAAAAATATGCCTGTCATACAGGCGTTTCATTTTTTTTCTGCCTCTAAATGCCCCTCCTATGTTAACCTATGGGATTGATTTGCTAAAACTGGTGTATTCAGAATCTGGTGCAGCTGTACATGGTAGACAGTTGGCTACTAACTCGTTCAGCTTGTTCAGTTAAGCTTTCACTATAAAACCTGGAATCTGATTGGTTTCTGTGCAGAACGGCAGCTGATTTTGCACTCTCCTCTTTTAGTAAATTCCCCGTGTGTCCATGCACACAGGCATTTAGGGGCATAATTTTTTTTTTTTTTTTCTCCTGCCAGGAGAAAGACGTTCAGACATGCTGACCAAATGCCCAATGTGCATGAAGCTATACAGTGCTGAGGTTCAAAGCTCTTCCACTGCTGAGGGAGAAAGGAGAGAATATCAGGGAGATAAGACACTATCCATGTAAATTTAATTCATTTGTTTCTCCCTGGCAGCAGAGTTTGTCCTGTCACCTCTCCTGCTTTTCTTTTCTCCTTTTCTCTCTGTGTTCCTTCAGCACAGTCTTTGTCATTCCTGTTGTTCAATTTCCCCCACTCCAGCAGCCTAGTGACTCACTGATTATCAACACAGTGTCAGGAATACGGAACAACTAAGGCTGTACAAGGCAGGATGAGACCGGGTCTTACTGGATTTAAAACTGGATTTTTTTTTTAATGTTTTACATAGCTATACCTGCAAAAGGGGCCAGCCTTAAGTGATCTACCAGGAATTAATTTTCTGACTAAAGTTCCACTTTAAGAGACCCTGTCACCACATTTTTGATTGTAACAGAATTATTCCTATAAGATTATGGGGTCTATTTGTAAAAATATTGCTGTGTGACTGTCTCAAGCATTTTCACAATTGTCACAAATAAATACCCGAATGTCTCTAATATGTTTATTTCTTATGATCGCCAGCTCCATCTGGTGGCCATAATGCAGTAGTTTCCTGAAATACTTCAATCAGGACAATACTATATTATGACCACTGAATGGAGCTGATGATGATCATTAGAAAATACAGTAGTCACAGTACAGCAATTATATGTGAAGGTTGTGTGAATGTTTGAGTGAAAATGTGAATATTTAAAAAAAAAATAAAAAAATAGACCCCTAATATGTCATTTTAATTTTTTTTTTGTGCACATTATTTATCTGTGAAGCCTACCTTGTGTAGACAATCAAAACACCTGAAACTTCTATGGTCCCACCAGATTGAATGTGGTGTTTGCAGACTTAGAGCTGTCACTCAAGCAACAATCTAGAACAGTGGTTCCTAACCTCGGTCCGAAATTTGAAAATTTTTGTTAGATAAAATAGGCAATGTTGAGGAGAAGCCTATATTGTGCAAGTAAGGAGGGGCTGTACGAGGAAACTGACTAGTCGAGTTTTCTACCAAGTTCAAAGGCAATTATAAATGGATAAAAAATCCTTTTTGGAAAGGAAATTTACTGCAATCTAGTATGTAAAATACAAGCTTTTTATGCATTTTATGTACAGCTTTTTAAGTTAGTGACAGGGTCTCTTTAAGCCTTGTTAAAGGACGTTTGGCTGAACCAATCACAAAGCACCAGTGCTACCAACTTAAAGGAAGGTAAATGAATGACATGCTGGGGGTTATTTTACTAAAATTGGAGCGGGAAAAAACCTGTGCAGCACTGCTTACAAACCAATCATTTTCCAGGGTTTATTGTCAAAACTTAATTGAACAAGCTGATGTTAGAAGCTGATTGGCTGCCATGCATAGCTGCACCAGATTCTGAGTGCTCCAGTTTTAGTAAATCTCCGCTAAGTATTTTCTTTGCTTTCAGCAGCTGACCACAGCGGCGTTGGAGTGGAGGAAGGGATATGTGCCACTGGGGATGGGGGTATTTAAATATGACCTACACAGGTCTGATTTGTAAAAACACTTTAAAAAAGGCAAATGGTATCACGGAAAATAGTAATGTTTGATTTGTCAGGTAAATATAATGCATTCTCTGATTGTTAGAGCGGGAGAAGGTACGCAGTGCTCAATATCACCCTACTTATTATTGATGGCTCCACGTGCATGGAATTGCTGTTTCATAAAGATGAGTTCAGATTCAGGCTGACTACATTAAACAAGCATTCCATCCATATCCGTCTTCTGTGTCCTGGAATTTATTGGTGTATTGTTTTTATTTGTAGGCAGATCGGAGTTGCCTATGTGACGGCTACCAGTACTGCTCTGGCCACAGCAGTGGGGCTTAACCTGTATACCAAGGTATGGACGATGCCACTTTTGTCCCTGTGTTTCCGCAACAAAGAAAATTGGATTTCTTTTTGTGTAGTTCTATAGATGAAATAGATGAAACTTTAAATGGAAATTGGCGTTAAAGAAAAACAAAAGCAATTGCTTTTCCAAATAAATACAACAAAAAACTTTTAGCATACTGTGCACAATTTTGACTGAGTAAAGAAGGATTGTTGAGCATGCGTGTATGTATGTATGTAGGTGTGTGTGTGCTTGTGTGTGTGTATATATATATATATGTGTATGTGTGTATATATATATATATATGTATGTGTGTGTGTGTGTGTATGTGTATATGTGTGTATATATATATATATATATATATATATATATATATATATAAATAACGTTCAGGTCAAACCGGGACTTTCATGTATGTGTGTGTGTATGTATGTATGTATGTATGTATTATATATATATATATATATATATATATGTGTGTGTGTGTGTGGGTATGTATATGTGTGTGTGTGTGTGTGTATATATAAAAATAATATAGCGTTCAGGTCAAACCGGGACTTTCGAGTTTATACAATAACAGAACAAATTTCAAAGAGGGGTAATTGCATTTATTTTTTTACATACTCCCCTGCTACATTTATAGACTTATCCAAGAGTTGAACTAATGCCTAGGAAGCTTGGGCATAGAAGGATTTGTCTGTACACCTGAACCATCCAAGGACATTCATAAATGATTGTGTTCTCCATTCCCACAGAAAGATTTGTCTCTTGTGCAATTTCACAACAGGTTATGTGTCGATTATCCAGGATCAGGTGCTCCACACGTGGAGTGTTCACAGGAATGACTGCTGTGGGGTGGGAACTACCACAACTGGGATCGTCACTGATGGACATACGGCCATCTTTGAAATGTTTATGCCATTCATGTGTCTTACTGCTTATGAGGAATTTATAAAAACGGGACGGGAACCACTGCAGGTTAATTACATATATTGCTACCTGCCGACTCACCTCTAAATAAAAGGTGGTGTCCTCAGAACCAAAAAATTCTGACTGCAAAATGTGGAGCGAAAGGAGATTCACACAGAAAGAGGTCCCAATAGAGGACAAACACCGCGGCTTAAGGCTAATAATAATAATTTCATATTTATTAAGCCGCAGAGTTTGCCCTCTATTGGGACCTCTGTTAGGACCTCTTTCTGTGTGAATCTCCTTTCACACCACATTTTGCAGTCATATGTCTTACTGCGGCTGAGTGTCTCATCGCCGTACTGTACTTGAAGCCATCTGTAGATATCCGCTGGTTTTATGCCTTTGTTCACAAGAAACTTCATCACCATACGCTGTTCCATGCACGCGCTAACACTGTCTGCCATGTTGATTGATGGTATCTGGACTGGCCCGCGATGTGTGCTGCCTATCAGTAATAGGACACATTTGCCACTTACTACTGCATGTAGTACTGCCATGCTAGCATCCCTTTTTATACCTGTACAATGAAAAGACCTGGTTTGACTTGAACGCCCCTCGAATGTATATACTTTGTTAGATAAATGTGAAATAATGCATAGAAATATACTTTGAATTAGCCATTGTTGTAAATAGGCTTGAATATAAAGAGCTTGTGTTAATCGTCATAAACGTTAAGATTTCTCTCATTCAGCCAGCAAACTGAACAAGAAAAAATTAATAGATTCCCCATTCACATTAAACAATGTGGAGAGTGGATCCTGCTCTGCCGGCTCTTTGTGTTTAGACAGTTGCAGCACCCGCGGCTGTCCTAGAACCAGAACCGTGGCTGTATCTGATAGCCAACAATTTATCACCTTTCTCACAGGGCCACCCATTGCTCAGACTGCAACTGATTCAGAAGGAATCGTCTGAAATCCAAGCTGTGTATGGTACACTTTTATACAGATGACCCTCAGTTCACATATATGCGAATGTGGATGTGTTTTGAACCGCGCCAATTTGCATGACAGGCAAAATACTTTTCTGCAGAGCTGGTTCACATACATGCATGCCAGCCGCAGTGCGATTTTGAAAAGGGGTCCTGTGTGATTTTTGGTGCGGGTGCGATTTCCAGCCTGTTACATTTTAATAATTTGCATCAAAATCGCAGCTGCACTGCATGAACAAAATCGCACTGCACTGGCCATCAAAATTGTACTGCATCCTGAACCACCTCCTCTCCTTGTGCTCTGCAGAAAAGGCCCTTCATGGATTTTTATTTAGAGCTTGACTGCCAGAGAGTGAGTAGTCGGTGCTGGGCTTCCTTGTTAACAAGAAATAACATGACTGTCCATTTTGGACTTTCTAATGTGATTTAGCTTTCATATCACTATACTGACTATATCAGAAAGACCTTTCTACTCAATATATAGAAAGTAGGAAAGTGGGGGGAATACATGTGGGGATTTCAATACCAATGGCAGTTTTACCTCTGGTGAGAAACTTTAAGGCTACGTTCACACTAGCCTTGTGTGCAGGTGGCAGAGAGGCAATTGGGAAGCGTTTTTTACCGCTTCCCAAACGCCTCTGCCAACTCTGCACATTACAGCACATGGTGCTGTTCTAACAGGAGCGTTTGCGTCGCGTCGCGTTGCGTCGCGGCAAAACGGACGCCTCTGGTCGAGTCAGGAGGCTTTGAAGCCTCCTATTCTCGTCTATGGTGCCGCTCCGCAAACGCCCGGCCGGCGTTTGCGGTGCGGTTGCGACGCGGTTGCGGGGCGTTTGCGGAGCGGTAACACCACTCAAATGCATTATAGGTGTTTGTGGGGCGTTATTAACGCTCGGCGAACGCCTAGCAACCGCCGCTAAACCGCGCATGCGGCGTTTGCGGAGCGTTTGCCGAGCGTTAAAAACGCTCCGCAAACACCGGACCAACGCTTGCCAAACGCTATAGGGGCATTTGGCAAGCGTTGGCAAAACAGCCTAGTGTGAACGAGCCCTAAAAGAGTGCTGCACATCTAAAGTAATTTCAGGGGTACAGCATTAATTAAAGGGATGCACAAATCATATTGTCCGGCACCCAGGACATGCAGTTCCAGGCGCCGGGCAGGTGGGGTTTTCTTTTACATTTTGCCCTACTGCAGACAATTAACTTCAATGCAAAAACGCCTGCCATAGACTTTAATGCAAAAACCGTCTTCCATAGACTTTAAAGCAAAAACGCCTCCCATAGACTTTAATGCAAAACCAAGTACCAGAATTGCTCTTACTGTCCCGGACATGGTGCAGAAAGAGGAGGGAGAAGAGTGGGTATTTCAGATCATCGGACCAGTGGACTTTCTGCATGGGCACTAACAGTTCCCCCACAGAAGTAAGTACAGCAAGCATTGGGAATGTATGTATGGTGTTCTTTTCCTTTTTTCTGAGAAGGTGAACTTAAACTCCAAAGGCTCAGTTGAGCCAAAAGTGATATTTTGGATATAATTATAGCCTAGACGGCTGAGTCAGCTTATGGCTTTTTATATGTCCCAACAGTGATCTTTCCCTGCCATAATGCCTAACCTGTTCCTGCCTAGCTGGAAGTTCGGGGTTTTCCTGCCCACCCTTGTGTTTGCCACCGATCACATTCTCAATAATGAAAAAAAAAATGCAAAATCAAACAGGGAAAGTGAACCTTAAAAGAATGTGCTTGATGGTTTTACCTCCCTGGCATCCACCATCCCAAAAAAAAAAAAAAAACCTGTTTTGGGTGGATTAACTTAGTGGTTGTGTACAGAGTATAGGCGCATAATATGTCAGTGAAAAGACGGTTATATGTTTACTTTCAGGTTAGGCTTTTATCTATATTAACCAGCAACCACATAAGATGTCTATGTACTCAATGTGTCAGCTAGAAGTCCTCATCTAAGTAACACATTAATAGTCTCTATTCATAAATCTGCAGAGCTGGCAAAAAATAACACCTACAGTAATGTTTTACATCAACCGAGTTTTTTTTTCCGACCACTTAAAGGATCACTAATCCTAAAACACCGGTTGGTTTATGTAAAGAGCTACAAGGTAACCTGTGAAATGTATATATGAAGGTTGCAGACTTCCTGTCATTAAACATCACTGTTGCAGTAAACTTCTGAGAATCCAGAACTGTGGGAGAGAATTGTCAGCCAAGGTGCAGAGGGACAGTATAAACGCAGCATTCTATTATTTAAATAAACGTTTGCTGCACTTTCATTGTGTGACTCCTAAAATCTTCCCTCTACTGGTGAGACACAGCACTGCGCTAATAGAAATCCCCACCTCCCTCTGTCTGCATCTGTTTTATGGTACAAAGGGTCACAAGTCTAAATCTGATACAGGTGTGGGCGAAAATGTTGCTTTCGGCAAACCGGGATTACAGGGAAAAAAAATTATGAAACCAAATATTTGACAAATCCATTGCTAAAAATATGCAGCCAGATTGAATAGAGGAGCCTGATAGCTTGATTAATCTTCCCCAATGGATTGCACATGGGTGTATACTATACCAAGGGTCATATGAAAAGTTTTAGGGCAGTTCTGTTACTGCCACATGTACACTGAATGTCACTCCAATGCACTATTCAATGAACAGTAGTGGTACTATGTGGTGTGCTCTGTTAGGAAAAAATGGTCAAGTCTGGTGTTCAGTGCACTGGGATATGTTGGCACTCCACACCCAGCATAGTGCATATTAAAGTGTTACTAAACCCACAACCGTAAAATCAGTCTGTATATGCAGTAGAGCATGCTTGTTATACTCATTGTCGAACCTAAGTCGTTAATCCTCCGCATTGTGTAAAAAGGATGTTTGATCCTGCCTTCTTTGATCCTCCCCTTCTACTGTCCACATCATCTGCTAATTGTACAGAGCTCTAGGATTCACTGTGCACATGCTCAGTTTGGTGTGTATTGCTATAGTTTTTTTTCTTTGGGAGGGTGCATGTGATCAGCACAGGACCAATCAGCACTATCCAGACAGAGGGGTTATGCAGCCTCATAGGACAGTCAGAGCAGAATGAAAAACTCCTCCTACAAACTTTACCAGTGCTCGGCCGGACACTGATAGAAGTCACAAGACTGCTCTAACTGCTGATGAGAAAAGGTATTTATCAGTTTATATTTACTAACAATTTTGCATTACCATGTTCTGTGTGCTTTGGGAGATCAGCTATGGTGAATGCAGGGCCCTGGGTTTAGTAACACTTTAATGTTTGTGGTAATACACCAGAGTACCTCCAGGTACTCTGCTTTACTCCCACACTCCACAGACATGCTATTAATTTAACTGGCACCTGTATAAGTGTGTGTGTGTGATGTGAGATAGGGACCTTTTGATTTTTAGCTTCTTAAGAGCAAGGACCGATGTGAATATGCCAAGCACAGTATAAATTGTCAACATTAAATAGGCCTATGATAAATACATAATGGGTCCTTCGGCATTCAAAAAGTCTTAAAAAGCTTCCAAATTAAGTTAAGTTTAAAATATCAATATTGATTAAAGTAAAAGGGGGAAAAGGAGAACATACCATATGCCACATATTTGCATCTCAGAATTTGATGCACAATGCCTCTCCCATGTAGCCTTCTATATTTAATACTTCACATAGCACACTTTTTATATTAAGACATTTATCCATGGATTGAGGCTTGAGTTTTTTTTCCTTTTTTGTTTGGTTTTTTTCCTACCCCTTTCTCAGGTCATTGTGCACTTTTTTCAGGAAAGATAAAATCTTTATCACAAGGGGCATTACATCAGTGTTAATTTACATGACTATATTCACTTAAGCTGTCCACACATGCCACAAAGCCGTATGCGGGAATACAACAAAAGGGCACTACTCTGGAAAGGGAAACAAAAAGAAAAGAATTCTAGATACTTGTTTTAAAGGGCTATCCGTGTTTTGCCAACTTTCCCTTCTCTAAAATAATCCTTCAACAGGCAATATTCTAATGCAGTGACCTCCAAACTGCAGCCCTTTTGCTACTTTTAACTGTCCTCTTGGAACACTGTTCCTCCCACTGACACCAACAATGAGACACCATTCTTCAACTGACACCAATGATAGGATACTATTCCTGTCACTGACCCCAGTGATGGGGCACTATTCCACCAATTAATAGCAATGATGTGGCACTATTCCTCATCCTATTGACCACAGGTTCTACAGGAGGCATTGGGGTTGATTTGCTGAAGGCAAATAGACTGTGCACTTTGCAAGTACAATTGTAAAGACTACCCACCCAGGTACAAGGGAATAAAAAACAGCATTTCTGCTTGCACATAATAGGATGATGGAAATCAGCAGAGCTTCAGCACATTCAGTAAGCTCTGGAGAAAATGAATGCAACTGCACTTGGAAAA